CAAAATATATTTTACGAGTTACTTCAAGTACAACAAAGCTATTTTTCTCTCACAGAAGATTTAGGAAAATTTAGCTGTATTGCCATGGAAGACCCTGGAGACAAAGCTTATTAAAATGCTTCCTTTTTAAATTCATACCTTTTGATAAAGCTTTAGACAGAGAAAAAAAATAGGTCTGACCTAAATTGTAGATTCCACTGTAAGTGCATTTTTACCAGAAACGTTATTAAACACCAGATTACCAGTCCCATCCCCAGTCTCAAGACCCTACTCAGTTATTTTTATCATTCTAGACAGGTGTTTGTCCCCCTTTCCTTGTTCCCCCACAACGCAATCCTCACCACCTTTCCAGTAAACAACATCTGGTGCCTCTCCTGCCTTTACCAACAGAGCATTAATTACTGTTGGCTAACTAATTCTTCCTTCCCAAATACTTTCACAAAGCATCATTTACCTGGAGAAGGTTTATGGCTATTTCCACTGGAATAGAAAATGTGAGTAATCCTCCTTTCTTCTACAAGGGTGCTAACATTTGAGGAGAGTGTGAAAAGGACTCCAGAATATAGCTTCAGAGTCAAGCTATTTTACAGAGAAACCACAAGTGGCAACAGGTAGTTCTGCTGTAACAACTCTGAACCTAGTTTTCACAGTATGCTACTCAATAGTAATTTCGCTGGCTAAAAGTCATCAGTCTTCTTGAGGGGGTGGGGAGGCTGGGTAGTGAGCATGGATAAACCAGAGGAACAACAGCAGATGGGGGAATTCAAATAATATCCTGCCCTGATTACTCCCAGACCCATCACAGGAGACCAATGAGCCCCAGCATCTGCGTGAAACACCTCAAGATCAGTCAACAGAAGAGGGAGGCTCTTGGGAGCGCTGCGCAGGCTGAGTGGGGTTACTTCCTACAGGGGTGTGGGACGCAGCATAGGAGGCAAAAAAAGAGTTTGCACAAAACATTAGGGGATGTTTAGGGGAGAAACCTAAGGCAGAGAAAGGGAGGAAAGATTCTCACTAGTCCTTTTTATTATTTTAAGCACCATATTTAAATGATACCAGAGAAATAAATGCTTTGCACAATTTGCAGTCAAGCTTACAACAGCCCTAACAAAAAGACATACACTAAAACAATCATTTTAAAAAAAAAAGTTTCCACATCAAGCACAATCATCATTATTTCTCATTAGCCGTACCTTCAAAAACGGCTTTATTGGATAATCCCAAAGCTGGCACAGTTGCACCTTCTGGAAGATCAGCTGATTGCTGAATGAAAAAAAAAAACAAAACCAAAACCACATAACATAGATTATCATGTAGGTTCAGATTTCAAAGGCCACAGTTTAAGGAACCCCTGTGATAAAAACAGACTTTTCTAGAGAAGTGAAGAGGGGCACTTTGAAAAACTCCTAACTCATCCAGAACATACCCTGGACAAAATGAAGACCAGTACTCTGCCAGAAAAGAAAAGCTTTTCTAACGCCTCAGCTCAAGGGGTTTGCTCTAAAGCATGCATCTTCATCCCTAATCACAGGTTTTCGTCCACAACCTTACTTATTCTAGGATATATGTGATAATCAACTGAGAGCACTGCAGTTTTTGACACAATAGGACTGGGAAATAGTCTGTTCTGAGGTGAAACGAACCTCGTAAGGTTCAACAAGGCCCAGTGCAAGGTCCTGCACGTGGGTCCACACAATCCCAAGCACGACTATAGGCTGGGCCAGGAATGGATTGAAAGCAGCCCCGAGGAGAAGGACTTAGGGGTATTGATTGATGAGAAGCTCAACATGAGCCAGCAGTGTGCGCTTGCAGGCCAGAAAGCCAACCATATCCTGGGCTGCATCAAAAGAGGTGTGACCAGCAGGTTGAGGGAGGTGATCCTGCCCCTCTACTCCGCTCTCCAGGTGAGACCCCACCTGGAGTACTGCATCCAGCTCTGGGGGCCCCAGTACAGGAGAGACATGGAGCTGTTGGAGCGAGTCCAGAGGAGGGCCACAGAGATGATCAGAGGGCTGGAGCACCTCTCCTATGAGGACAGGCTGAGAGAGTTGGAGTTGTTCAGCCTGGAGAAGGCCCCAGGGAGATCTAATTGTGGCCTACCAGTACCTGAAGGGGCCTACAGGAAAGCTGGTGAGGGACTGTTTACAAGGGCATGTAGTGATAGAACAAGGGGTAATGGCTTTACACTGAAAGACAGTAGATTTAGGTTAGATATAAGGAAGAAATTCTTTACTGTGAGGGTGGTGAGGCACTGGAACAGGTTGCCCAGAGAAGCTGTGGCTGCCCCCTCCC